AGGACGCCTTGAAATCTGACTGTAAACCACTGAACAGATATAGTGTTGTGAAATTGACAACCTACTCGAAGTGAAAACGCCTTGAAATCTGACTGCTGTACATCACTGAACAGATATAGTGTTGTAAAAATGACAACATACTCGAGGTGAGGACGCCTTGAAATCTGACTGTAAACCACTGAACAGATATAGTGTTGTGAAATTGACAACCTACTCGAAGGGAAAACGCCTTGAAATCTGACTGTACATCACTGAACAGATATAGTGTATGAAAATGACAACATACTCGAGGTGAGGACGCCTTGAAATCTGACTGTAAACCACTGAACAGATATAGTGTTGTGAAATTGACAACCTACTCGAAGGGAAAACGCCTTGAAATCTGACTGCTGTACATCACTGAACAGATATAGTGTATGAAAATGACAACATACTCGAGGTGAGGAAGCCTTGAAATCTGACTGTAAACCACTGAACAGATATAGTGTGTGAAAATGACAACATGCTCGAGGTGAGGACGCCTTGAAATCTGACTGTACATCACTGAACAAATATAGTGTTGTGAAAATGACAAAATACTCGAAGTGAAAATGCCTTGAAATCTGACTGCTGTACATCACTGAACAGATATAGTGTATGAAAATGACAACATACTCGAGGTGAGGACGCCTTAAAATCTGACTGTAAACCACTGAACAGATACAGTGTGTGAAAATGACAACATGCTCGAGGTGAGGACGCCTTGAAATCTGACTGTACACCACTGAACAGATATAGTGTTGTGAAAATGACAACATACTCGAGGTGAGGACGCCTTGAAATCTGACTGTACATCACTGAACAGATATAGTGTTGTGAAAATGCCTTGAAATCTGACTGCTATACATCACTGAACAGATATAGTGTATGAAAATGACAACGTACTCGAGCTGAGGGCGCCTTGAAATCTGACTGTACATCACTGAATAGATAAAGTGTGTGAAAATGACAACATGCTCGGGGTGAGAACGCCTTGAAATCTGACTGTACATGACTGAACAGATATAGTGTTGTGAAAATGACAACCTACTCGAAGTGAAAACGCCTTGAAATCTGACTGTACATGACTGAACAGATATAGTGTTGTGAAAATGACAACCTACTCGAAGTGAAAACGCCTTGAAATCTGACTGCTGTGCATCACTGAACAGATATAGTGTATGATAATGACAACGTACTCGAGGTGAGGACGCCTTGAAATCTGACTGTACACTACTGAACAGATATAGTGTGTGAAAATGACAACATACTCGAGATAAGGACGCCTTGAAATCTGACTGTACACTACTGAACAGATATAGTGTGTGAAAATGACAACATACTCGAGATAAGGACGCCTTGAAATCTGACTGTACACTACTGAACAGATATAGTGTGTGAAAATGACAAGATATTCGAGGT